ATGGTCCTCACCGGCTCTCACCTGCGCGTGGCCGCCGGGCTGTGGGTTCCCTTCGTCATGTTCGAAGACCATGAGGACGGGACTTTCACCACCACAGGACTCCTCATCGACCTTATGGACATCTTCGCCAGCAAACTCAACTTCACGTAAGTCCTTCTCGGTTTTGATGGTGACTGAGAAAAGAGGGAAACGTGACAGATGTTTCAGAAATGCGAGAGAGAGGGAAAGAGAAAGCTTAAAAAAGAAAACTAGGGTAAAGTAAATAGAAAGGGACACATGCACTGATGAAATGATGTCTGTATTGCCTTTGCTATTCATTAGAATGATGAGGAATAAAAATAAGATTTATGGTATTGATAATGGCGATAAGAAATTGTGGTAGTGATGATAATCGCGATGACAGAAATGATAGTGAATATCATAGATAGTGACTGATATGTAAAAAGTGAATAGCGTGTATAATAGAGATGATGATTATTGTAACGTTGTTTATCAGGTATCCATAATCATTGTAATATCTCATTTGTAATAATCTATGTTACACTGAATTCTGTCTTGAATATCAGTGATAACAAAATCGCTAAAATCAGTAGAAATAATAAGGATACTAGCAACAAGGACTATGATAGGGATATAAGTAGTCGTAATAAAACTATTAGCTGCATTAGTAGTAGTAGTAGAAAAAAATGATAATAATTGATCATGTTAGCATTTAGCATTAGCATTAGTACACATTAGCAGCTGTAGCAGTAATAGTAACAGAAGTTGAAGTGACCGTTGTACAAGTCGTAGTGTTAGTAATATTAGTGAAATTTACGATGCTGTATGATTCTAAAAAAAGAATGATAATGATGTAGAATTAAGAGCAATATAACGATGATTATGTTACAAGAAAATAATGATGATAGAAGAAATAATAAAGGTAATGATGGTTGTGATAGTAATAGTCATGATAGAAGTAATATTAATAGTAATGACAATGATAATGATAATGATTGTAGTAGTAATAATGATATTCATAATAACGATGATGATAATGATAATAATGATAAAAGCAACAATAACAACAATGACAATGACAACAATAATGCTAATCAAATCCAATTTAACTCTAACACTCCTAAAATGATAACAAAAATAGTATTAGGAATTATGAAAGTAACATCAATGATTACGCTGCTAATATCGGTAATGATATCAATAGTAAGACAAACAATGGTAACAAGAAGAAATTACAGAACACAATTGCCTCTACTAATTGTTTTGATTCGATAATCGTTTCGACCAATTAAAACGATAATTGGTCCCTTAATCCTTTTAATTAGAAATATCAGATATCAGAATACAGTTAACGACTAGAGCATTTAAACGATTGATTCAATTACAATGCAGATTAGTATATGTTGTGAATTAAAGATTGATGACTAGATGCGAATATAAATGTTTTTAAAGTGGTGAAAGTAATTGTGTATTCATGGAATGGATTATGAATCAATTATGCTGTTTGTTGCCTTAATCATAAATAATTTTCCTGTCAACAGTAAAACAAGCAATAGTAACGATAAGGATAAAAAAAATGATAATAACAATGATAACATTAATGAAGACAGTATTAGTAATGGTAATGATGATAACAAATAACAACAATAACAAGTGATAACAAATATGATAATACTACTAATTATATTGATAATATTGATGATGATGATGATGATAATAATAGTAAGGATAATGATGATGATGATGATGATGATGATGATGATAAGAAAAATAGGAAGGGTGATGATAATGATGATGATCACGGTCATGATGATAATCATGATGATAGCAATAATAATAATGATAATAATAATAATGATAGTGATAACTGTAGTAATAAGGATAATGAAAATGATAATGATTGTGATGACAATTATTTTTGTCATTATTATCATCTTCATAACTTTTTTTACTATTACTATTATCATTATTATCATCATTATAATTTGTCTTAATATTTTATAATCATTATTAATATTTTCAGTATGCCTACTAGCATCTTTATTATTGTTTTAACTAAAATTTCCATCATTATCATCATTGTTATTATTGCTATCATTGCCATTATCATCTATTTTGTTATTCTTATTAATATCATTATAATATATACAACAATTGATACTGCCATTACTACTAATACTACTACACTCATTATTAGCATTGCTATTTTTATCCGTATAATGTGTGATAAGAATTACATTAAAAGCACCAACAATAGCAAAGAAAAGATTCCCAGTACTGCCGATAAAGACAATACACTTATATTCAATAAATGTGTATTATCAATTCCATTTTAACAAGAAAACTACAATAACAAAAACATCAACAAAAACGACAAAAACAGCCATTACTTTTAACATTTTTACTAAGATCATAATAACGGTAATAGTAATTATAGTAACTATCATAATAACACGGATAACAATAACAACAATGATTATATCGATGACATTAACAACGGATAACAATAACACCAACGGTGATGTAAATTATATCAACAACGAAAACAGTAATAGCGGTTTTGATAACAACTATCATTACTACAACAACAACAGTATAAACTACAACCACCTGCTTTTCCATGAAGGTATTCTGTGTTGAAATCCGTGGACGGCGAGTGGGGTCGCCTTCACCCCAATGGCTCCGCTACGGGAATGATTGGCATGTGTCAGAGAAAGGTGAGAGAGGGAGCCGTGGCTGGAAATCCTCGATTTTTCGTTCGTTCTGAAATCTGATCCATGTTTTTTTTTTTTTTTTTTTTTTTTTCTAGGGGGGGGGAGTTGTTTTGCTTGTTCGCTTGCTTGCTTGCTTGTGGGGTAATTGTAATGATAATCAAATAGCGATTGTGATAATAATCATGATAATAATCATAGCATTAATGATGGTAATGATGTTATTACTAATAACAAGGATAAAAATGATGATGATAATGATAATTACAAAATAGGAACAATAATGATAATGATGATTAAAATTATGATAGTGATAGTGATAATAATAATAATAACAATAACAATAAGGATACTAATGATAATGATTATAATGATAATGATGATGATAATAATAACAATAATAATAATGATAGCATAGATAATGGTAATAATAAAAATGATAATGATAATAATGGTGACAATAATAGTTATGATAGTGATGATGATGATGAAAACAGCAATAAGATTAATAAAAATAGTAATATTAATAATAATGATAATAACAGTAAAAACATTACTCATGATGGTAATTATAATAATAATGATAATTATAATGACGATGATAATAGCAATAATGATCACAGTGCATATGCAACTAGCAATGATGATAATAATGATCATATAATAACTATAATCATAAAGATTGAACAATACGAATAATGGCAATGATAATGATAAGGATAACTATACTAACAGTAATAAAGCAATTGATATTACTGTTGATAATGATGATCGCAGCTTGACTGATAACAGAAACGAAATATCTGAATGATAACGATAGCAACAATAAATATGAACCGCAGAAAAACAGACAAGGAAAGACCATATAATGACTATAATCATAAAGGTTGAATAATACGAATAATGGACAATGATAGTGATAACGATAACGATAATAACAGTAATAAAGCAACTAATTCTACTGTTGATAATGATGATCGCAGCCTGATTGATAACGAAAACGATATATCTGAATGATAACGATAGCAACAATGAATATGAACAGCAGGAAAACAGACAAGGCCAGAAACAATACTGAACCGACCCTGAGGTTTTTCTCCTTTTTTTCCTTCATCCTCTGCTGCACCTCACAACAGGAGGCGGACATGGCCTTGGGTCCCTTCAGCATCACCTACATGAGGTCCCAAGTGATAGACTATTCTGTGCCGCTCTACATAGACAGCTTCGGGATCTTTCTGCCTCGGCCGTACAGGGAGAGAGATCTGACTGGGTTTGTGAAGCCTTTTGGCTGGGAGGTAAGGTTTTCTTCTTCTTTTATGGGTTGTTCTTCTCTTTCTTTTACTTATTCTTGTCGTATTATTTTCCTTTTTTCTTTTTTTTTTCTTCGTTATCTTTTTTTCCATTTTCTCTTTTGCTTCAAATCCTCTTCCACCCTCAAGTATATATTCCTCCTTCTCCGACCCCCTCTCTTTTTCTTCACTTCTCCACCCCAAAATTTATCTCTCCTCTTCCTCTCCCTCTACCGTCTCTCTTTCTCTTCACACCCTCTCCCTATCACCAACTATATAACTCCTCTCCTTCTCACCTTCCCTCCTTTTCTTTCTTTCTCTTCACATCCCTCCCACCCTAATATATATCTCTCATCCCCTTTTCCCTTTCCTACTCCCTTTCCTTCTCTTCCCAACCTCCCTTCCACCCAAAAATCAATCTTCCTCTCTCTTCCCCTCCCTCTCTTTACTCCTTGTCTCCCCCTCCACTCTCTTTACTCCCCTCTCCCCTCTCTTTACCCCCTCCCTCTCCCTTCTCTTTACCCTCTCCCATCCCCTTTCTTTCTACCCCCTCTCCCTTTCACCTCTCTTTTACCCCTTTCCTCCCCTCTCTCATTACCCCCCTTTCCCCTCCCCTCTGTCTTTACCCCCCTCTCCCCTTCCCCTTTCTTTCTACCCCTCTCCTCTCCCTCTCTCTTTACACACCCACCCCCTTCTCCCCTCCCCTCTCTCCCCCTTCCCCCCTCCCCTCTCTTTACCCCCTCTCCCCTCCCTCTCTCTCCCCCCAATTCTTCCCTCCCCTCTCTCTTTCCCCTTTCCCCCTCCCCTCTCTCTTTACCCCCCTCTCCCCCACAGGTTTGGGTGACGCTCCTGATCCTCCTGTCTTGGAGCATGGGTCTCGGCGCCATCATCAACCGGCTCTCCGTCCGCTGGTCCCTCCCGGAACCAGGCCTTCGGCTCGCGGCGGGAAGCCCAAGGCGATCTTCCAGCCCAGTTGGATCTTGAAGACGCTCCTCATGGAACGTAAGTTTGGCGCTGAAGCCGAGGTGAATTTCCGGGTTTTTATTTGTGTGGCGAATTCTGCTCTGTTTTCTCGTGATGTTTTTTATTTTATTTTTTACATTACTTTTTTTTTCGCCTTTCAGATTATCATAATATATATATATATATATATATATATATATATATATATATATATATATATATATATATAATATATATAATATATATATATATATATATATATATATATATATATATATATATATATTATATATATATATATATATATATATATATATATATATATATATATATATATATATATATATATATATATATATATATATATATATATGTGTGTGTGTGTGTGTGTGTGTGTGTGTTTGTGTGTGTATACATATATACATAAATACATATAAAACACACAGACACACACACAAACACACACACACACTCAAAGACACACACACACTCATATGTTTACGTTATATGTATATGTGTGTGTGTTGATATGTGAGTGTTTGTGCCTGTGTTTGCATAGAAATAAATGTATATGTACATAAAGTTGCCAGAGTAGAGGCAGTAAATGATTCGATATTAAATTGCCAGGTCATGGGCTGGTGTTGGCATCGACAGAGCGTTCAATTAACTCTATTGTCAGTGTTTGTTGTCATACCTTTAATCAATGGTTATTGGCGTTTTTCAGTGTCTTAATTATATACAGTTCATGTCAGCATAATGATTATTGGACATGCTGACAGTGTTTGATCGTTTTACTCATAGGTTTGTCAGTCAAAAGGGGATGTTTACATTTACGTTTCGCTACAATTAATGGCAGAGGTTAAGGATATATATACCGAAGCGCTGTGAATGCTGATTGAGAATACCAGCCACGTTGTTGTCAGGCAGTTATCTTTGTTGAAGTTCATATTTGCAGTTATCTGAAGTCTGTGAATGCTGACTGAGAATACCAGCCACGTTGTTGTCAGGCAATAAAATCCTTGTTTATGTTTATATTTGTATTTCGCTGGTCCATGACACATGTTCAAATATCCTTGTAGAAGTGTTAGTCATTCATACCCCAAAGTGTGCCATGAGCTAGACCTGTCTCAAAGTGCCTTTCCTTCCCACAGCTCTGTCAGCCCTGCCAACTTCCCTCACCGGTCGTGTCTTCATGGGGACTTGGATGGTGGTTTCTCTCATCTTGAGCTCGGCCTACCAAGGGATTCTGACCTCTCTGTTAGCTGTGCCGAAGGTTGAAGTTCCCGTGGACTCCTTGCAAGATCTCCTGGACTATGGCAAGATGCCTTGGTCTGTCGAGTATGGCACTGCCTTGCACCAGCTCTTCGGGGTGAGTTTTCTCATATTTTCTCAAATTTCTTTTTAAAAGTTAAACATGATAAACGGCATGGAAATACACATGTTTACTTTTAAATACTTTCTTATTTTTTCTTTACATTCTGCTTTACTCTCTTTCTATCTATCTATCTCTATCTATCTATCTATCTATCTATCTATCTATCTATCTATCTATCTATCTATCTATCTATCTATATCTATCTATCTATCTATATCTATCTATCATATCTATCTATATATATATCTATATATATATATCATATATATCTGATATATATATACATATATATATATAGATATATATTTATTTTATCATTATCATTAGTATTATTATCGTTTATATATATATATATATATATATATATATATATATATATATATATATATATATAATATATATATATATTATATATTATATTTATTTATTTATTTATTAGATATGTATTTATTTTCCCTTTACATTCTGTTTTACAATTAGGATGCAAAATCGGGCTTCTACAAGAAGATCCACGACGGCAGCTTCCTAGTAACTAGCAGCTTCGAAGAGAGAGATCGAATGAAAAAGGAACGATTTGCGATTCTCTGCGACTTCTTCTCTATGAAGTTGGTAAGTGAAATGAGGCGGGGGAGACCGTAGAGTTTTGCGAAGAGTGAATTTGATGAGGAGGAGGATGGTTATGGTGATGGTGATGATGATGATGGTGGTGGTGATGGTGGTTATGGTGGTGATGATGATGGTGTTGATGGTGAGGATGTTGATGGTGTTGGTGTTGATGGTTGGTTATGGTGATGGTGATGATGAAATGGGGCGGGGAGACCGTAGAGTTTTGCGGAGAATGAATTTGATGAAGATGATGATGGTTATGGTGGTGATGGTGATAATGATGATGGTAATGATGGTGGTGATGATGATGATGGTGCAGGTGATGATTATGATGGTGTTGATGATGGTGGCATTTGCGATTCTCTGCGACTTCTTCTCTATGAAGTTGGTAAGTGAAACGGGGCGGGGGAGACCGTAGAGTTTTGCGAAGAGGGAATTTGATGAGGAGGAGGATGGTTATGGTTATGGTGATGGTGATGATGATGGTAATGATGGTGATGATGGTGGTTATGGTGATGATGATGGTGTTGATGGTGATGGTGATGATGATGGTGCAGGTGATGATTATGATGGTGTTGATGATGGTATGCGTATCTGCGATTTCTTCTCAATGAAGTTGGTAAGTGAAACGTAGAGTTTTGCGACGAGTGAATTGATGAGGTGATGATGGTTATGGTGATGGTAATGGTGATGGTGATGGTGAGGATGAGGATGAGGATGGTTATGGTTATGTGATGATGATGATGGTGATGATGATAATAACAATGATGAAAATAACAATAATAATAATGATGATAATAATGATAATAATAATGATAATAAAAATCGTCATAAAAATAATAGTAATAACAAAAATAGCAATATTGATAATACTAGTAATAATAAGTTATAATGACTGTAATGATAATAATAATAATGGTAACAGTAATAGGAATAATAATAATAATAATAATAATAATAATGGTAATATAATAATAATACTATTACAAGCACTGTCACTCATAATGATAATGATAATTATAACAATAATCATAATAAAGATTATAACAATGGTAGTAACAACATAATTATAATGATAAAAATGTGATAATGATAGTAACAACAACAACAACAATAATGATAATGGGATGACAATGATGATGATGGAGATGTTGATGTTGTTTATGATGATGATGATGATATAAACAATAATAATAATAATGATAATGAATTTATAACTACAACTACTGCTACAACTCCTATTACTATTGAAATGATGATAGAATTGTAATTACTATTACTGCTACTACTAATACTACTGATGAAAATAATGTTTGGATAATGGCAATGATGATGATGATGATAAAATTATAACTACTACTACTGCTAAAACAACTACTAACAGTGATGAAATAATATTGATGATGGCATAAGATGATTGAGGATAAAATAGATAATAGATAATAATAATGATAACTGCAATATTGGCAATGATAAATGATGATGATGTTACTACTAATAATAAACATAAACGTAATGATAGTAGTATGATCGATTCTACTATTACTACTACTGTTATGATAACTGTAGCAACAATAAAAGTAGTATGATCATTTCTACTATTACTACTGCTGTTATCATAATTGCAGTAACAATAACGATACTAAAATAAGGTTCTTATTAATAGTGATGATTGTTATCATTCATATTCATAATAATTTATTTTCAATAGTGTTAATGACTATTATGATGATTATGATAATAACAATATAAATAATACTAAAACTAATGCTACCACTACTACTGCTAATGATAATAATGCTAATCATACTAATAATAACAATGATGTTGATAACAAAAATAAATAATAATAATAATAATAATAATAATAACTGTAGTGGCGATGCTGATAATGATAATGAAAATATTATTACTGAAAATAATATTGATAATAACAATCATATTGATGATAATAATGATGATGTTAACAATAATTGTAGAATTGTCACTTATAACAAAAATGATGACAAAAATAATAGCACTATTGGATTAAAGAATAATAAAAATAATGATGATGATGATGATAACACTAATTATCATAACAATAATAGTAATGATAGCATCAAACACTATGGAATGATGATAATAAAAAACGATGATGATGAGAACACTAATTATCATAACAATAATAGTAATGATAGCATCAACAACAACAATCCCACCAGCAATGGCCTCTTTACCCCATCGTCAACCTCCACAGATCATGAGCGACGACTACGGCAAGACAGGGGAGTGCAGTTATTACATCGCCAAGGAAGTGATATGGTCAGCCTCCATGGCCTTTGTGTTTCAGAAGGACAGCCCTGTCACCAAACACTTCAATAAGTGGTATGTGTACTGTTGTTATTTGTTGATCTATGATAGCAAGAGTGATTCTTTTATTATTACCGTTATTTGTGTATTTATTGTCAATGTCATTATCATTATCATCATTATCATTATTAATACAATGATCATGATGATGATAAGAATAATAATATCCATAGAGGGCATTTAAGGAAGAATTTGGTGGGTGTATCTTGCTTTCTTCTTACAACATTATTATAACAATTATTGTGGACTTAAAAACCGTAGTGATATTAGGACACATACAAGATGATACTTATTTTTTCTAGATTCTACATCACTTGAAACATAAAATATATCTATCATGCAACAAAATTAACAAGTTTGCACAAGCAATGGTTCTCTTAATGATAATTACTTTCTATAATCCATTATAGCTTACATAATGTCAACTGTCATAACACTTTCTCTAGTTCATTGTTTTTTTAAAGCACTCCAGGAGAAATGAATATGAACAGTTAAAGGAATTCCTATGTAGAATAATACTATGGATTAGAAACGATTATGAGACAATCCATGCTAAGCTAGATAAGGTAAACAGTTTCTCGAAGGAAGACTAGATTTTGTATAAGGAAATGGTTCTCTCTTATAATCCACAAGACACTGCATGTACTTACAGCATTAGACTCCTGAAATATATCGAAATATGGATTGTTTACTAGATTTTTTAC